ATCGCCTGTGATCTGTTGTGTAGACATTTCAGGAAACTTGCGTTTTAATTTATTACTTTTTATGGAAAATTAACTGCTAGCCAATCACGTTCCAAGATTTGCGGAAAAAATGGGGAGGTCGCTGTATGAGTTAAATTGTTCAACGTGAAACAGTCGGATGGGTATGGATACATGTACTCGTGTATACTTTTTCCTTCCCTTCAGAATTTTCTTTGCATTGGCAAAAATTTATTTATAGTCGTGTAACATAAGCATAATAATCATCGCAAAGATCTATAATTAGACCAACTATGGGTATTTTTATGGTAATGCAAGTATTAGTATTTATACAAGTGTTCGCATATATATGTAAATTTGATAGAATTATCGATATGCCATAATTGTCTGTGTGCCACAAAATGTATAGGTCAATTAAGGGTCGAGACATGACAGTCTTTCGACTCTTCCATTCCATTCACACATGCAAAGAGAACTAGTATGCGTTCCTTCAAGGCTATATTGATCCTTCTTACTCTTCTTTGTGCTCTTTCGACCGTCAAAGCACGTATGGTACTGCAATTTCCAACTCCTCGAGGAACAATTGTAGATTTTCTTAAGGATCCTCCATGTGCTTCGTACAATAGTACTAACGTTTCTGCTATCACAACCTTCCCTCTGAGTAAGTTCATGCTTATAACGAAATTTGTTCCATTTGTGTGATAGTACTATTCCCCATTTATTAATACGACTCTTATAATTATGTTGATAGATGGAGAAGCAATTATGCTGTTCTCTAGTGGTGAAGGAAATCTAGTTTACTATTACGCTCCCAACAGTAACGGCACATTTACCAAAGTGGCCGGTAAGCAATCGTTGTATTAGTGTTTTGTGTATACGTACATATCATATCATACACACATACATGTACGGTATTCTTATAACTTAATTCTTTGTCCCCATAAGAACCGGTTACCCTGATAAAAAATGATACTTATCCGCGCAGCGTTACTAAGAGGGTAGACCTGACATTGGCTGGTGCTAAAGCTGGCGATCAAGGTGTCCTGCAAGGCGTCTACGTCTCATTAAAAAATGACACAGCTTGGTATCAATGTGGCGATATTAAGATTGCAGATGCGGTTGCAAATACGTCTGGTGGTGGTGGCGGTAGTGGCGGTAGTGGTGGTAGTGGTAGTTCTAATGATACGAATACGTCTTCGGCAGCTGCAGTCGTCAGTGGTACCGTACTGACCTATACGACTCTATTTGTAGTTTTTATGTTAAATTAAACGACAAAATTTAATGTCAAAATCAGATAATCTATCATTCGTTTTTGCCATGATCAAGTTTACGCTCTGTTGCATCTTGGCAATTTTCTCGAATGGGATAATTAGTTTAGTGAAAGTTATTTTCAATATAATAATTATAACCTGCGATGAAAACATTCGCTTTTAATAAGTTTTATTTTTATTGAGATAACAACCACTGCACTGCAATGGTTGTATGAACAAATTTGATAATAAAAGTTTTGAGGAAGATTGCATTATGGTCGATACGATTATCAAAGTTATCGCTTTTCACATATGAACTGAGGTAAAAATGAGTCAAGTCAGGAGGCTAATTTTAATGTCATAGACAAAGTAAATCGCACAATGGTTCAAACTGCTATTCATGCAAGAAAAAAGAGTGGGGTCATTAGTGGAACCAAGGACCTGACACGGACAACTAATATTAACTATTATGCAAAGAACAGGTCGGTCAATCAGATTATCTGGCATCCCATTCAAGTAGATATTCGTTATCGTTCCTGTCACACATATATTGTTGTGTCTAAGTTCGGGGGGCCTGTCTCAGACACTCAGTCTAGAACTCAGTTGGAACGTACAACATACAGTGTAGGACAAAGAAAACGGGATTTTTTTTTGTAACATTCAAAAAAAAAGAAAACTTGAAAACGAAAACAATTTCAGCCAATAGAATCAGTTATAATACCCTCATAATCGGTTATAATCGCTGGTGTAACAACCCAACAAGCTTTCTTGCCTCGCGCAAGTAAAGAGGTAAGTTGTATTAAGTAGGCATCTTCTACTCTTCAGAAAGGTTCAGTAATCACTGGCTCGCAAAAGTATTCACCTGTTTTCAAAAAAAGTTGTGACCAAATGTTGTGTGACTGCAGAATTTTAAAAAGAGCGATAAACAATGTAAAATGTAAAATGATTATCAGACAAGCGACTTTATATTTATTTACTTGTTTACAGGTATTTTCACTAATACTTGTTCTTAAATTCCTTTAACATTCTCAAAAACGCTTCAAGAAACATCAATTAGAACGATGACACCAGACAAGAGACGGAAGAGCTGAAAGGCGGTCTCATTTGTAAACAACGTGTTCTCCCAATCATTAAGGCCCACTCTATATGCCGACGTTTGTGGTCTTCAGTTAACATTGGCGTTGCTCTTGGAAAATTTTTTCGATAACCACTTTGCACTAAATGCCTTCGCACTGTTCTATAAGATGCCTGAAAATAACCTTGTTGCTAATGTCTTTGCAGTTTTTCTATCTACTGGTTTTCAGCTTTCAAATCGTAGATTTCATCTTACTAGCACCATTAGTTCTTGCATAATGCGGTAATCCCGGATTTTTTTGTCCCCACTGTATATCATACAACTTTCCGCATGAGAAAATAACAATACTGTACCCGCACCCTCACCAACTGTTTATTACATAAAAACACAGTCATAAATTTTTTATTTCAAATACAATACACTTCTGATTTTTATTGATTGAGTTTTATACACGTAAAGTATGTTTAGCACAGTGCATTTGACGCAATATTGCAGGGATTGTAAGTTGGATAATTTGTCAAATACGAATTATCTATGCTAATAATCTTGATCTATCTATATTGAGTATTAAATAGCAAGTTTATTAAACAATTTTATAATAATAATAATAATAATAATAAAGATGTTTCATTATGTTCTGTATGGAATACTACCATTATGTTTGGTAGGTCGCATGGGAGAGTGTTTGGTGTTCTAACTTTTACCAAGAGATGCTCTCAAAATTTTACTAGTCTTGCTTAACAATCGTAATGCCACGAGAATATTCGCAGGACAAGAAGATATTCCTAATCGATATTGGAATTAGTGGAATATGTGTTTCGGAGCAGAGTATAAAAATTTATTTATTAGAAAGCTGCGCATCTGATACAGTATATCTAATTGAATTTGCATTTCTATATTATACTTAGCGCGTGCAACTACTCTCGTTTAAGGAACAAAAATTATTGGCAAATTTAATTATGCTCGAACTGCCATTATCGTTATTATTATAGACCATAAAAAATCTTATACGATTGACTGAGCCGCGTAATAAAGAAGTTTACATTGTCAAAATAATCACAAAGTTTCCCTGCATCTGGACGCTTATCAGAATCAGCATCACACACCGCTCGGCAATTTCTTTAGTGCATCATTGGTTGTCAAGTGACATAATTTCATGCACCACGTCAAATTGTTAATGTTAGTATATTGCATAGCAATCATGTACTCTTTTGTTTCTGGATTTTGTGTGGCTTCATCTGGAGGAAATGTGCATTTGTGCATGATCTCTGAATTATTAAATAAGATAAACGCAAAATTAGATTAAATATCACTTTAATTAATACTGCCAATTATTGCTTACTTCGTTAATAAAGAATTACAGTGTCTGAGTACAACTTGGTATTGTCTCTTCTCCTACATATTCGGCGGTGTAAACTGTTCCATAGCAACTAAATCCGATCTCTTTGAGTTTATAAAGTCGTCATACTGCATGTACTTAATTAACATTTGCATGAACTTGTCCAATATTGCACGCCGTTGTGATAGAACAGCAAATAATATTTTCGAGTAGATGGCTCTTGATTTTGTGGCAGATCAATTCTAGAATACTCAGATGCGTATCTCGAAATCTGATTAGTTCAATCCGATTTATAGATCTAGCACTGCGATAAGAAGTAAGTTCACGTTCTAAACTTTTAGATCAACATCAAGGCCATGATGCGATACTGGAAGAAATCAACAAAACACTGAAATCATTAGTTCCTTCTATACCTTCACAACAGCATTGGGAGATTGCGTACTAACCTACGGCCTTCGCATATGCCCTAGTTTATTGCTGAATCACGCCGATTTCGTGTTCGAATAAGAAAAACACAATTTGTAAACCTGAATACTGATAATCGTGGTTTTTAAAATATAAGCGAAGAATGAATGCTAAGTGAAAAAATGAAAGATTTGGTGAAATTGCACATGCAAAAAGAATAGATTTTATTAAAGCGAAACCAATCAACGAAACATCATTGGGCATTTGGCAACCAATTCCAATAATACGTGAAGAAGCAAATCATCAGCAATCTGAAAGTTTATTAACAAAATCGGAGATTTATCCATTATCAATTCTTTAATCCCCTTTATTAGGCGATTCACAACGATCACGTTTTCGAGGCTAATCCCTAGTGAATATTCTTCAAGACATTAGAAATATGTCGCACCTGTCTATTTGCATACTGTAGATTTTTATGCAAATAGACAGAATATGCAAATACACGTTATCACATGATCGTTGATACCAATCACATGATCAGATTACTCAAAAAATTATTTTATTATTATGCACTCGTAAAATATGTTCTTGCTATCATTTTATAATAAAGAACACTACATTAAGCAATCAACAACGCTATCAAATCTGTTTAAAAAAGCAAAATAACCAAGGAATGACCCAAAAGAGTTAGTGAACAAGAACTCGGTGTAAAAGTTGATCAAGCAACTATTTCCAGAACGTCAAAGCGCTCATCTGAGTATTTACACAATGAACTAACTTATTGCAAAATAATTCAATGTGAACTTGAACTTGCACTCCAAGAATGGTGTTTGCGCTCCCAGAGCCATATTCCTCAATCATAATAATAATTGAAAAGGCTAAATTGTTCGCAAAATTGCTTAATATTCCTGATAATACATTATATTAGCATTTTCTTCAAAGCTTTAAAGACAGGTATATAATTTACATTTATTTATTATATTTAATTGGGAAAATAAAATCCCTAAATTATTACGTAATAAAAGGTTTAATGCAACCAATCAGCGTTTTTCGTGTTAACGTTTCACTATATAAGCTGCACGATGCTGGCTACTCTTTTCAAAGTGGTGAATTCTCCTTTCCGTTTCGTGTCCCGTTAGGACGAGACCATTTGTCAGTGTGTATAAGTATATGAGTTGTAACATACTACCCACGGATTCGTAATTGTCAATTATTATGCGCTTACTTACGCTCGCTACAATCGAATATTCTTACATTTATTCACGTCAAGTATGTTACGAGTGTAGACCGGTCAGACACACACCACTTACGTTGCGAAGAGAGGTGTCCGCTGCGTTCTTAAGAAATACGATAACGCACTGAATAATCACCGCAAACAACGGAATGACAATGCGTTGCGTAACCGTATCCCATCACTGAAAATTAAGCAAATGACACATGACATTGGGTAGAGGGGCCAAACGCTTCCGACTTTTATATTTACAATTTCCTTGCATTTCTCTCTATTAAACTATAGATAACAAGAGTTAAGAAACATTACTCCATAATCGAACGTTGTAAATAGGCCACTTATAATAATCTACAAATTTCCCATAAATTATATACTGAAGAATGTAGATATTGACAGAATAGAAGAAACCTGGCCATCCGTGCAGTTGCTGCTTCAAGATTCTGCCATTTTATTATCCTTCTTACTGACAGAACTCATATCTGCTCTTGTCTGGGACTTGTAAATCGTGGAATAGTTTGCCGTCATTTCTTGAAGAAAATTCCCAACATTAATCAGTGGGACTAATTAAACGTAATGCAATTGATTGGTTTGTGTCTCCAGCAGACCTTCGAGAAGAAAGAAGAGAAAATATCAATGAGCAAAAACTGTATGGAGAACTGTGGGAAATTGCACGAGATATTACACAAAAAGCCGTTCGATTTCACAGGCGAGATATTCTCAAGAAATTGCAGGATCTGTTAACTGAAATGCAAGAAAGTGATAGTAATTCACGTGAGGATAAAAAAAAATAAGGAAAATGATCCACCTAAAAACGCAAAGCAAAAAGACGCCCGAAAAATTCCAAGCGAATCAAACGAGCAGAAGAGTTGCCAGTCAAGCATCAAAACCGGTGTGGTAATTGTGGAGAGCATGGGCATTACAAGCCTAAATGTCCGAACTAGATTAGGTAATGTTGGCAATCGCAATAAAATCGGCCCATGTAGTACAGGGGGGAAAGTACAAACTCAAGGAGGCGTTCGCATATGTGTAAGGTCAAACCTTAACTTGATTAATTAAATAGATGATAGCTTTTAGATCATCGATATGCCATAATTGTTCTGCTGTGTGCCATACAAGAACAAAATATAAGAGCGGGTCATCGAGGGTTGAGACTTTACGGGTCTTTCGATTCGCGCAGAGTACGACTTCCTCTTCCATTTCACACGTAAAGAGAACTAGTTTTTAGCAGTATGTATTCCTCCAAGATTATCTTGATCTTTGTTACTCTTCTTTGTGCTCTTTCGACCGTTAGGGCACATATGGTGATGAAATTTCCAACTCCTCGAGGGCCAAATGTGGGAACTTCTCTTTATCAGGCTCCATGTGCTTCGTACAATAGTCCTAACGCCTCTGCTATCACAACCTTTCCTCTGAGTAAGTTAACATAATTTGTTCATTTACGCGTTTTCCCAATTTATTTAACATGACTCTTATAATATGTTGATAGATGGGGCAGCAATTATGTACTTTGGACATGGTGAAGGAAGTCTAGTTTACTCTTATGCTCCCAACAGCAACGCCACATTCGCCAAAGTTGCCGGTAAAAAAAAGCAATCGTCATATTAACCTTTATGCATACATACACATAAACGGTGTTCTTATAACCTAATTCTTGCGCACATCTCTATCCCCATAGAACCGGTTACCCTTCTGCATAACGATACTTATCCGCGCAATTTTACCACGAATGTGGACTTGAAGTTGGCTGGTGCTAAAGTTGGCGATCAAGGTGTCCTGCAAGGTGTCTACGTCTCATCAAACTCGACTTGGTATCAATGTGGCGATATTAAGATTGCAGATGCGGTCACAACTACGTCTTCGGCAACTGCAATCGTTAGTGGTACCGTACTGCTCTATACGACTCTAGCTGTAGTTTTTATGTTGAACTACAAAATTTAAGGTCAAAATCCAGAAAATCTATTCGTTTGTTGCCATGATCAAGTTTAAGCGTCTTTGTATATTGGCAATTTGTCTCGTTATGGGATAATTAGTTTAATAAAAGCTATTTTCAATGGGATGATTACAATTCCCAATGAAAACATTCATCAAGCCAAGCTACTTATTGAGCAAACGTTTATCCGATGTCGTATGAGCGAATTTGAGAACCGTCGTACCTAAAAGTTTTGGGGGTAGATTATGATAGTCAACAATAAATAAAGTTGTGCTGCTTAGGCTGATGACTGTACTGAGACTGTAAATAATAGTTGCAATGTTGTTGCAGCTTTGAATGCACACACAATAGATACGAATCGACAAAGAATACATAATACGGTTAACCGTAATTTCATAGGCAGAAGACATTTATTGAAAATCGCACGATGGTTCAAACATATAACATTAGTAGAACCAATTGGCATGGACAACTATCATGCAAAGAGCAGGTCGATGCGATGCTATTGAAACGACTATATATAGATCAGATTATCTGGGGGAAAAAGCAAGATGTTTAATCGTCATACGTTGACAGCATCCAGTTATCGTTACCGTGCTTTGAATAATTCATAATCGGCTCTTTTTGGATAATGATTGAACTTAGTACGCTGATGTAATCACAATCCAAATTCCTGTCACACATATCAATTTCTTGATAGAAATTTCTGTACAGAATATTTCTGTATAGAATATTTCTTGAATGCCAAATATGTGCTAATTGGTTATGTCGGAACAATTGTTAGGGCAATTAATTAAGAATCGCTAATTTAGAACACACAGCTTAGCAAACACTATACTGTAAAAGCATCTTTAAACGCATATATTTTCTCTTCTGGTAATCGCACTGGTTAAGCGGAAATTTGCTAATCTCTCTATCAGTATAGGCAATCGATCATGTCCATTAATTTCTCGGGTTTGGCACATACGATTGCATCAATAGACGTAATTTAGATACCAACATGACAACTAGTAGTATGTTGTTGGAAGACACATTAACGAAGAAGGCATAGTATGCGCGTAAGCCACAGATCGAGATAACCCAAAGACATTCTAGTTGATTTATATATCACTACTATTGACTCAAACTTGTCGTTAATGCATTGATTCATTAATAGAGTGACCAGAGAAAAGGGCTGTGACATTGATTGATCGTGACGTCCAAGTTTATCTGTTGAAATTTGATACCTTTTGACATTTAACGATAACAATAAAGTAAATTTCGAGAAGCGACTTAAAAATCAGACTTCTTATGAATAGCGCAAGTGGTAGAGTGCATTGACCGAGTGACTTTTTTTTACCAAATGTATTTCTTCTCTTCGCTTATCACATCGGCCCCTGAATATTGTTTTCTTACCATTATTATTACCAGTGACGTCAGAGAATGCTATATTTCAAACGCTCTTATAATCTTTCAACATGGAATATAACAAATAAAATTTTGCAACACCTTTGTCACTTATAAATACGAATGGTACGGTAAAGGTCCGTCTGTTATGCCTAAACAGTATAATAAACGAATCTAAATACTTAAGGCTTGAATGGATTTCTTGATCGCAAATTGTCGACATAACGTCGAGTCTGTCGGGTCACCGTATGTAACTTCCAATTAGTAATAGACCCATTCTTTTGATTGTGACATATACATAAGAAAACCGGTGATTGATTACTGGTTTTTGATTTTTGGTTTCTCATTCAATTCGATTTGGTTTTTGTGTAAGTTATCGAATAAATACTGAGAATATTGACAACAAGTATACTCTAACGCTTAAAATGAGAATATTACTACAATAGATTTTACTATACGCCACTGACTGATATTCCAACCCTTTCCAAATATACTAATACAATTATCGTTTATTCGTTATTATCACATTGTGTTACACATAGAACTTTTGTTTACATACTCTTACCTGATCACGGGAATTTTTTCATGCAAACATATACTTTTTAGTTATCGTGTCGACTTCCACTTATGAATATAATTGTTATAATTAGTGTTTGTATACGTTGATATTACGTTAATAAACATTGACTGAAAGATCTGGGTATTCCGATCATAAAAGAGCTTGTATCAATCTAAATATACGCACCTGCGACAAGTGGCAAAAGCATAGCTCTTGAGTTTAAGAAACGATTATCTGATACCATTTGTGACAGCTGGTGTCAAAGAAAGAGTGAGGTTGGTATCGATATTAGCTTATCCAAAATGATTGGTCACAGGCATTGAAGCTGTCCAAGAGGCTCTGGTTGCCCTCACCAACAAGTGGCGTCATTGTCAGAAGAATTTCGGCAACTCCGTGATGTGTCATTAGTGAGACAGACAACAGAATTGAAGGCGGACATGATAAGCGTCAGAGACATAGTAGAAAACTGGCAAAATCAGGAAATAAAGAATTTAATCACTTGTCGGATACGTTACTGGTATGATAATAAGGAAGCATTCTTTTTGTTGCAAAGTATAGTTTATCGAAATTGTGATGGCTAGATAAAATTTTTAATAACTTAGTGGTGCCGAAAATAATCGGCAGACCCGTGATTATGAGCCACACAAGCCATCATATTTCATTGG